TTTTTAGAGAGATCATTTCATTTGGGGCTCTTACAGCTCTTATAACATCCATACATCAATTGTATCAAGTATATTAACACTACTAGTAGCATTTGGATAAATGACGTGCTTCTGGCTTACCCCCACCCTGGGCTTGATTCCGATTCATGGTGACCTAATTGGCCAGCATAGAACTGCCACAGGGTTGTGGAGGCTGTCAGTCTTTCCCAGTGCAGACAGCCTCGTCTGTCTCCCTCGGAGCAGCTGGTGGATTTGAACTGCCTACCTGGAGGTAAGCAGCCCAATGCTGAAACCAAGGTGCCACGAGGACGCCTTGTATCAAGCATATTTGTACATATGTTGCCATCATTTTCTAAACATTTATTTTCTATTTGAGCCGTTAGTATCAGCTCCTCTTTTTTCCTTCCCTCCTCGTCTCCCACCCTTGTGCCCCCTTGATAAATTAAAAATTATTTTCATATTTTACACTGACCACTTTCTCTCTTTCCCCATGGTTTCTCCCCCGCCCCTCTCCCCACCTTCCACTTCCCCACCTGGTATCACTACTCCCATTTCTATTCCTGAGGGGTTTTTGTAACCTAGATTCTGTGTGTTGTGAGCTCTTATCGATACCTGTATACATGCTACGGTCTAGCCTGCAGTGAAAGGCAGACTTGGGATCATGATAGTGGAGGCGAGGAAGCCTCAAAGAACCAGAGGAATATTGTGTTTCATTGGTGCTATACTGCTCCCTGGTTGACTCATCCCTTCCTTGTGACCCTTCTGTGAGGGATGTCCCATGGTCTACAGTGACATTCTCACCTCATACACCCTCATTCTCAACAATATGTTTTTTTGTTTTGAGTCTTCTGATGCCTGTTACCTGATCCCGTCAACACTTCAGAATAACACAGGCTGGTGTGCTTCTTTCATGTGAGCTTTTTGCTTCTCTGCTAGATGGCCACTTTCAGATTGATGTCTGCTGTCTTGATGCTTATCAATCCAAAGAACTCCCCCTAGTATTTTTTTGTAAGATTGATATTGTTTTCACAAATTCCTTTAATTTATCTTTATCTGGAAATCTCCCTCATGCTTTTCTCGACATAAGATTCTTGGTTAGAATTTTTTCTTTCTTTCGGAGGTTTGTATATGTCACTCCATTGATTTCTTGTCTACATAGTTTCTGCTGAAATACCCTAGCTTATTCTTCTTGGTTATTCTTTGTAGGCAACTTTTCTTTCCCCTATGAGCTGTTTTCAAGTAGTCTTTTCTTGGCCTTGATATTGAAAAATTAATTTGATATGTTGTGATGATTTCCTTTTTGGGTCTATCCTGGTTAGGGTTCTTTCAGCTTCTATATTCTCATTTATGGTATTAGGGAAGACTTCTTCCAGAGGTTCTTGGACTGTTTTCTCTGTGCATTTTTTTGGTTTCTTCCTGTTCTGGGATGCCTGCCAGAAATAAGTTACTGCTCTTGAGAATATCCTATATAATTCTTAAACTTTCTTCCGATATTTTTACTCTGTTTATTGATTGTTCTTCTCAAGGTACATATTGAGAGTTTTATCTTCACGCTCACTAATTTGGCCTTATACTGCTTCAGTTCTACTGCTTTGCTCTTTCAAAATGTATTTATCTTCTGGATTTCTATTTGGTGTTTTTGTATAATTTCTAATTATCATTTTTTTTATCTGAATGGTAACTTTAATTTTTTTTCAATTTTATTTCATATACATAGTTTGCAGACCACTGCTCTGGACTATCTTACCACACCATGTTTTGCAAAACCAATGCCTTCTTCATCTTTTT